ATTTGGCTGCTATTGCAGTTTTCTCTGGTGTGGGCTGGGTGGAGAGCTGCTTCCTGCAGGGAAAACCATGCTCCCACCCCCCACCCACAGAGCCTCTCAACTTAAACATCTCTGTGCTTGGGGCAAACACTGTAGCTTCAGGGGCTTTCCCCACTCAGACAAACTCAAGTCAGTGTCACACAGTCTGTGTCTGTATGTGGAGAGGGCAAAATGGGACGGGGCAAGGGATCTTGATGGGTATCTTGGCTGGAGTTAGAAAAACGTAGGAAATAAACTTCTGGGTGCTTCTGTGAGGGCATTTCCATAAATATTTGACTGAGGTGGGAAGACCTACTCTGAATCTGGGTGGCTCTGTTCCGTGGGCTGGGCTTCCTGACTGAATAAAAAGGAGAAAACTGGAGTAAAGGCAGTTTTCTCTCTCTGGTTCCTGACTGCAAATGCCATTGTGACCAGCTACCCCAGGCTGCTGTGGCCTGCCACGATGGACTGTATCTCCTCTAACTGTGAACCAAAATAAACCCTTTCTTCTCTTTTGTCAGTCGCCGTGACACAACACCAAGGAAGGTAACTGACACAGATTCAGGCACGGAGGATGGAAAGCGTCTTAGGTTTCCTCACCTAAGTGAGGAAGGAAAGGAAGGAAGGGAAGGAAGATCCAGCTATCCAAGCCGGGCTTCATGACTCCTGTGCTCCTGGCCTCTGTGTTATCAGGGAAGGATTGTTCCCATTGGAGGAGAGAAGAGGATGCAGGAGGCAGCCAGGCCTCCAGGGTTCCTGTTCTTACTGAAGTTGAGGAACTGAAAGGGGAACATGTTGGGGGTACTTGGGCAGAGTGGGAGGGACCAGGGAGTTGGGGTGGATAGGATTAAGGAAAATTATTTACATGTGTGGAATTGTCAAATAATAAAGAAATATTCTATTTAAGTTCCTAATCCAAATGTCTGATATCTTTATAAAAAGAAGCAGTAGGGATGTGTGCGTGTGGAGGAGAGGCCATGTGAGGACACACTGGGAAGGTAGCCAAGGGAAGATGCTTAAACCTGCTGACTCTTTAATAATGGACTTTCAGCTTCTAGGACTGTGAAAAAGTACTTTTCTGTTGAATAAGCTATCTAGTCCTTGGTATTCTGTTTTGGAAACCTGTATATTAGTCAGCTTTCTGTCACTGTAACAAATACCTGAGGTAAGTCAACTCAAAAAGAGCAAAGGTTTACTTTGGCTCACTATTGCTACCATTGCTAATAAATGGCTACAAACTTAGGTTTCCACCAGAACTGGATTTCTGTTTCCTCTTTTCAGTACACCAGTATGGTCAGTATCAATTTATTTTTTAAGGAGAGAACACATTTGTTGATAGCCCACTGGGCATTTGGGAGAGTTATAGAGAAAACTGAGCCAAGTAGTGTGACCTACAGATTAGTCCGGAGAAGACACCCGGGTCTGCAGTTGAGCTGTGGACCTGTCACCATGGGGGAGTTCCCTGTTGGACTCCATTTTCAAGTCACTGTCCCTTGAGTCAAAGTTCATTGTGGATAGGTCTCTTCTGGCTGTATCTTGGTCACATGGAATAAGGGGAAGTCCAAAGTCAAGGGGTCACATCTGGTGAGAGTCTTCACATTGGTGAGGATCCTAAAGAGTCCCAAGGTGCTGCCCAGGGCATGGCATGGCTGCACAGAATCCAGAATTTTACATGTTAGCTGTTTGTGTGGGTGTGAACCAGCATCTCATTGTGGTCCAGTTTTCATTTCCTCATAACCATTGATCATCTCTTGTCCTTATTGCCTGTTCCTGTATCTTCTATAGAAAATAAAAAATAGGATTTTTGGCTGTATTTGAATTGGGGTGTTTGAGTTCTCTTTACTGAGTTCCAAGAACTCTTTTAAAATTTAATTCTGTTTTCTCTTTCTCTCTCTCTGTGTGTACTCGTGTGCACATAGAGAGGTCAAAACATAACTTTCAGGAGTCAGTTTACTGCTTCTATAGTGGACTCCAGGTATAGAATCTATGTTGTCAGATTTGTGTGATACGTGTTTTTACCCACTGAGCCATTTTACTGGCCCTAGAAAGTCTTTTTGCTTACTTATTTATTTTTTGATACAGTTTCATGTGGCCAACTGTGGCTTTAAGCTCTCTAAATAACTGAGGATGACCTTGAACTTCTGCTCTTTTGTGTGCTGAGATTACAGGCATGAGCCAATATGCCTGGTTTGTATTTGGTACTGAGGTAGATAAACCCTCTACCTACCGAGTTACTACATCTCTGCCACTGGGAATCCTCCTTAGACTCTAAACCTGTGGAAGCCGGTGCTTACACACCTCTCTCATCTCTAGAAGCTTTCTAGCTCTCGCTTGTGCAAATTTCCTTGGCTACCTTGCACTTCTCTTTTGCTCTTTTCAACTTTGATTGCCTGACTTTGTTTGGACCCCGCTTCGGTACTGAGGTCCAGAACCTGCTCTCAGGAAGGGAGCCTGGATGAGGGTAGCCTTCATATCATTTGTTCCCTTTCTTTCTTTAAACATTTTATCTATCTATCTATCTATCTATCTATCTATCTATCTATCTATCTATCCATCTGTACAGTGTTCTGTCTGCATGTGTGCTTGCATGCCAGAAGAGGCCACTGGATCTCAGTAGAGATGGTTGTAAGCCACCATGTGGTTTCTGGGACTTGAACTCAAGGCCTTTGGAAGAACAGCCAGTGCTCTTACCACTGAGCCATCTCTCCAGCCCTATTTGTTCCCTTTCATACAGCAAGTCGGCCTCATGCTACCTAGTATCCAGTGTCTGAACTACATTTCCATTAGTTTTTCTTCTACATTTCCTTCAGTTTTCTAGTTGTTGACAGTAGAAAAGTTGTCTTAGATCCTGCTCTTCGTGATGGTTGGAACCCATTCTCAATGCTTTTAGAATAACAGCCATGGTCCTTGTATAATTGCAAGTGGAAAATTCAAGTGGAGGTCAGTAAGTAGCTTTGGGATTGATTAAATTTATGTGCCAAGGACATCATCAAGCCCAGAGGTAGTTCTAGCTTTCTGCTATGCTGCATTTTGGCCCCCTCAGCCATTGCTTTCGCTAGTGACTGCCATACTTGCAGTCATTCCATCTGAACATCTAGCACCACTCACCACTTACATCTAAACCATAGCTGACTTGGGTGTTTACAGACGTGATTTACATCACAGTGCTGGTGTGGGCTTCTCTTGGGGAGGGATTTAAAGCAAAACAGGGTGAGAACAGATTGGAGCTGGTGCAGGGAACTGAGCCTCAGGATCATGCAGATTAGCACTTTATCGGTTAGCAACAGATTCAGCTACTGGTGTTTAACCACAATCTGAGGTGCATGGAGATATCCCCTGAGGGTTTTCTTAAGAGGAGGCACAATGGGGCACAGGTCTACCCAGTGTTTCCTTTCTTTTCCTTTTCTTACCCCTGCTCATCTCTTTTTCTTTCTCCCCTTGAGACAGCACACATCTTCAATTCTAGGCTGGCCTCAAACTCACTGTGTAGCCCAAGGTGACCTTAAACTTTAGCTCCTCCCACTTCTACCTCTTGAGTGTTGAGATTATAGGTGTATACCACCAGGCCTGGTTTGCTAATGTGGAGGCTGGAACTCAGGACTTCATGCCTGCTAGGATAGTACTCTCCCGGCTGAGCTACATTTTCATCCCTGGTACAGTATTTCTCTTTTGCTCCATACCTATGATGAAAACAGTTTTGAAACACCTAAGCAGGGGGTTGGGGGAGTGTGTGTGGGGTTTAGTAGCAGGCAGGTGAGAATTTAGTAAAGGGGAGTCTAGGAGTTCCAAAATATCTACAGGAACAGGGAGTAAAGCAAACCCTGTGAATTTGATTACAGGACCCTTTTCCTACCTAGGCATTACAGTTTTGCCCCAAGTAAAAATACAGTACATGGGAAAATAGAGTCTCTACTGGGTCTCTTGGAGGAAGCTAACAAATGGCAGATCAGTTTCCTGTTGTTGTTCGTAAGACATCATTGAAAATATAGAAGCTTAAAACAGTTTCATTTATTCTCATGTAGATAGAGGCTGCATATCTAAGGTTGCTATGTCAACAGGGCTATGTTCCTTTTAGTGGCTTCAAGGAAGAATACATTTCCTTTTCATTTCAGCTTCTGGAATTGTCATTACTTAGCTTGGAGGCCCACATTACTTCAAAAAAAATTTTTTTTTGGATAATGCTGAATGTATTTATTTGATTGAAAATGAAGTTACTTTAATTTAGTAACAATTAATTGAAGCTTATTGTCTGTCTTGTCTTGAACTGATTTTTATTTTGTGTCCCTTTTTGAGTCACTCCAACCTCTTGATTCTGCTGTTACCTCTACTGTCCACTGAAATGTTTAACTACCCTTGCAATCACATTGGACTAACCAAAATAATTTAGTATAGTTTCCTTACCACAGAATCCTTAATTTAGTCATAGCTGCAAGATTCTCTTTCTGTTTCAGCAATATAATTGAAGGTCCCAAGATGCTGGCTGTGGGCATCTTTGTGGGTTCCTCTGTCCAGCCTCCCATAAGACTTGAAGCTTAGCTGGTGAAGGCTCTGTCCTCTAAATCTCTCTAGGTTCATGAAACTTCTGGGGAGGGGGACGAAAGTATATAAGGAAAGGATTTGAATTTGTCTAAAGCCTGTGTAAGGCCTGGCTTCATGGGGAGACTCCTTGAGAATGTGGCTTTTGGGAAGCACTCTATCAAGACCAGGCTGTTGAGAATTCTCTGGAGTTTGTCATCTTGCTCGGGTCACAGACACACTGACTGAAAAGACACTAAGACAAGAATAAAATGGAAATACTTTCAGATTTGAGCATTGTGGCACATACCCGTAATATTAGCATTTGGGAGGTGGAGGTAGAAGGATCAAAGTTCAAAGTTATCCTCAGCTACTGAAGTTCAAGGCCAGCCAGGGACACATGAGACCCTGTCTCAGTATTTCCATTGCTGTGACAAAACACCATAACCAAAACAACTTGAGGAGGAAAGGGTTTATTTTAATCTTACAGCTCTCAGGTCACAGTCTGTCACTGTGAGAAAGGGCAGAAACTGAAGCTGAGGCCATGGAAGAACACTGCTTACTAGCTTATTTCCCAATGGCTTGCTCAGCTTGCTTTGTTATAGAACCCAGCCCAGGGATGGCACTGCTGACAGTGGTCTGGATCCTTCCATATCAATCGTTAATCAAGTAAACACCCCATAGGCTTACCTAAAACACCCCACAGGCCCTACAGGCCTCTTATGGAGACATTTCTTTTTCAATTGAGTTTTCCTTCTCTCAGATGACTCTGGCTTGTGTCAAATTGACAAAATAACTAATTAGATAAGACCCTGTATCAGGAAAACAAACAAACAAACAAACAAAACAAAAACAAAAACAAAAAGAAACCAAACCAAATTACCCTCAAACAATATCTACCTACAGAGGGTGGCTGAGAAGAGAAACTGAGTTAATATATTCAAGTTGCTTAAGAATGGCCTGGCACATAATTAGCACTCAATGTTGGGTTTCCCTGGCTGTTCACTACTATCCAGCCCTCATGTCTTCTCCTCCACCAGCCCCTGGGCACACAGGAAACAGAGCAACATTAAAAACTCAGAAAACACAGGAAGGATTAGGTTGGTGAGTGGTCTGAACTTGCAGGAAGCATTGCACCTACAATCATTTTTTTTTTGTTGTTGTTGTTGCTAGAAGTTTCCATTTGCTCTAATATCAGGAGAAGAGCCCAAAGCAGAGCCTTTGATTGCTGCTTTCATTTCAGTTTCTTATCAAGTTCTGATTTCCAGGAAGGGAAGGGGCTTAAGGTTGTTTAGCTTTAGAAATGATTGGATACGAGAGGTGGGGGCAGGGAAGAAGAGAGAGAGAGTGACCAAGGTTGGAGAATATAATCTTTTAATTGTCTGAGATTCTTTGCAATGTCCTGGAGGTGGAGGGCAGTGGAGCTGGGGGAATGACCACTGAGTTGGAAGATGGCTGATGAAGAGTGCTTTCTGCTTAAGAAGCTATGCATAGTCAGACTTTTTGTTCCTAGTTGGGTCTACTGAAGTGACCTTTGGGGAGGCAGTTCTCTGAATGGCAGCCTCCACACTTGGATGGTCCGGCTCCTCCATTCATTCCCCCTCCTCATGTAGATGGCAGGAGCTGTAGAACTCTACCCCTGTGGTACTTGTGAAGCCCTTTCCATCCTCAGAGTCCATTCTTCTCGTGTGTTGAGGCCTGGAGTGGCACCATCTGTTTCTGCTGTTCCTGCTGATGTTGCCTCTGTTTTCCTCTGCTCCTGGGGAAAGGAAAGCAGATATCTGGGTTTGAAGCCTCCCATATGGGTCTGAGATGGGGCAGGCTCTCCTCTCAGCTGTGACTAGCCACCTGCTCCCAAATAGCAACTGCTCTTTCCCAGAGCTGAGAGTCTCAAGAAGGATTATGGGAATCTTCCACTTGAAGACAAAGGGACAAAGCTCTGATGTGGAAGAGGAGGCCTGGGTCTGAGCCTCCGAGCTGCCCCAGCCTGTGTGGGTGACCTGGCATAAGTCACTGATCCTCTCTGGAGTGTGCCCACCTGCTCTTCAGGTCCTGCACTGTATCCGGCAGTGGCTGGCCCAACGTCTCTGGTAGGAGGGCAGTGACAGCACTGGCGACCACTGGGATGGCGCCGAAGATGAAGAGAGGCATGGAGGGGTAGAACTCCGCAGTCATGCTCACCAGTGGGCTCACGATGCTGCCAACTCGGGCCATGGTGCTGCCCATGCCTAGGCCTGTCTGCCTGTGGTCAGGTGGGTGTTGGTTAGAGCTCTGGCGTGGGTACCAGTGGCCACACTCAGAGCAGGGCAGTTCTGCCAGCCTGGGACATCTCTGTGACTCCTCTTTCCTACCTGATCAGTAAATGATTCTGTATTTTTGTGTTTGGCTCTTGTTTGTGCTGGAATCAAAGCCAGGGCCTTGCATAGGCCAGGCAGACACTCTACTACTGACCTGCATCCCCAGGCCATTGTGGTGACTTTTTAAACAAAAAGGGAAATTGAGAACAGCTGTGGTCAGAGAACTGGGAGACTTGAAACTGAGTTCTGGCTCTGTCCTTAAGCTGCTGTGTGACCTTCAGCCAACCTCACTACATCTCTAGGCTTCAGTTTCCAGCTGTCACATGAGACCATTGGGTAAGACCAGGGATTCTGGAATGTTTTTTATTTTGATTGTTTCCTTTTCTTTTTTTCTGGCCATGCTAGGGATTGAACTCTGGACCTCACACCGGTAAGCTAGCTGCTCTGTCCCTGAGCTACACCCCAGCACACCTGCATACCTTATGTGTTAACAGCTGTCCCATCTCACAGAGACCTAGTTAGAGTCCCCAGGGGAAGGGACCTGGAAGCTATATGTTGCTTGTGTGTTAAGAACATTCTCTGTGAGGAGCTGGAGAGGTGGCTGAGTGCCTAAGAACACTGGCTGCTCTTGTAGAGGACCTAAGTTCAATTCTCAGCACCTACATGGCAGCTCATAATTATCTGTAACTCTAGTTGCAGGGAATGTGGCGTTCTCTTCTGGGTTCAGTGGGCACTAGGCATGTACATGCTGTACATACATACACCTGGGCAAAACACTCATACATAACATAAAAATAAATAAATCTAAAAATAAATCCAGCTAAGCAAGAACATGAGAGAAGAGGTTAAAAACTTTGACTCAGGAGGCAACTGCACTGCGCTTCCCTGCAGGCTCCATTGCTAGCTGTGTGATCCCGGAGAAGACACCTAACTTTTCTATGTCTCTGTTTTTGCCTGTGTGACTGGAAAATGATAGTGCCTACCTTGACCTGTTATGAGAAAGAAGTGAGTTAATATTTGTGAAAAGATTAAGACAGTACTTGATACACAATCATGCTTTACCTGAGCACTTGGTACACAGCACACACTTTGTCTAGACATTGTAAAGGCATGAGATATTATCCAGGATGCGTCATTGTTCTTATCTCGGCACCGTGACCTCTCAGGTCTTTGACATTTCATGTGATGCATGCATTCAATTCTTAAAGTAGATGTACTATTTTATTTCTTAATGCCTCTCCTATCTCACTATAAAGTGGTGCTGAGTCATGCATATGGCTGGCCTGTTGTCAGGAGTGGTTCTTGTAGGAAGTTGCATGCATGCTCATGACTTTAGTTTCAAATGTACTACTTGGTTTAAGATGGAGTTTAGGTACCGTCACAGCTTGTAACTTGGTTCTGGAGTCTTCAGCTCATTGCCTCTGAGATGTGGCACCATACCCTGTTACAGCTGGTAACAACTTCTACATCATCTCTAGGGTCAGACAAGAGGTGGACAGCCTCTGTCAGCCAGACCCTGATATGTGTAACTGAGTGGTTTTTTATATATCCTGCCTTGATGGATGTTTTTTAGGAGATGTTCTGGATACTGGGATTTGCTCTGGGACTCTGGCTTTAATGTGGGTAAAAGACTGTCTTTCCCTAGACCCTCCATGCACTGGGCTCCCACTCACCGGATCACTGTGGGGTATAGCTCTCCAGTGTACAGGAAGATGCAGTTGAAAGAAGCAGCCAGGCAGCCCTTCCCTAGCACAGCTAGGGAGGTGCGTATGATCGTCTGGTCTAGAGAGAAAGGAGTAAGGAGAGTGGGAGCTTGCGGATTGTGGTTGGAGGTACTGGCTTTTTTCTTCTTCTGAGAAGTTGGGTTATGTCTGAAGGGGTATGGTGGGTAAGACTGAGAGCCAACATGCTGGTGTGCGCTCACCTTTTGGTATTATGCCATTCACCAGGATGCAGATGCCTGCCAGCAGCAGAGAGGCCAACTGCGCAGGCCGGCGGCCCAGAGAGTTGATGACAAGGAAGCACACAAACTTGGCAGGCAGGTCCACGGCACCGAAGATCACCTGGATAAGGTACATACTAACCCCAAAGCCCTGCAGGTCCATGACCAGCCCATAGTAGGCAAAGCTAGTGGCAAACCTGGTGAGGGAGATGGAGAGGAAGGTGGAGCTGGTTAGATAGGCTTAAACAAGGGTGCTGTTAGCTGGGCAGTGGTGGCACACGCTTTTAATCCCAGCTCTCAGGGAAGCAGAGGCAGGTAGATCTCTGAGTTTCAGGCCAGCCTGGTCTACATAGTGAGTTCCAGGCCAGCCAAGAGAAACCCTGTCTTGAAAAACCAAAATCAAGCCAAACCAAACCAAACCAAACCAAACCAAACCAAACCCAACCAACCAACCAACCAACCAACCAACCAACCAACCAACCAACCAACCAACAAAACAAAACAAAAAAACAACCCAAGAAGACAAAACAACAACAAAAAACTAAGGATGCTCATGATATGATTCATAATATACATATGTATACATTATATGTATGTGATATACTATACACTCATAAACACAGTGATGTGTAGGATATCCTGCTTTGGGACCTAGGATCTGCTTTGGTTATTGCTTCTTCAGACACTTAACAACTGCATATTCAAACTGCGAGGTTGCAGGATTGGGGCAGTCCTCCAATCCTGTGCTAACTAGACACCCCAGGGTACCGGGAAGCTTTCACTTAGTGGTTAAGTAGGGTTTATACACTTTTAGTCTTTATCTTATCTGCTGGGCTCAGGGAGGGCAGGTTACTGTGTAAGCCGCATCAAGGTGTTGTAACAGCCGGCATCTTCTGAGATTTTCCTGTATTTCTGGGATGAATATTTAGGGGTTCACAGAACTTATATTTTGGGATAGAACTACAGAGAATACACCCAAAACTGGAAGAGGAGAATTCTTTGGCAAGATTGTTCTTCTGACTATGCTCCACTTAACTGTCATGGGATTACCATGGTGATGCATGTGAGAGAGATAACGGGAACATTGTGCAGGGAAAAGGAGACTTGGGCTTATACCATCTCTGTCCCAAGTGTGTTTTGGGGGATAAGTGTGGGTTCTCTTATGATGTGGTGCTTTTTCCCTAGGCACCATCATAGCAGTAAAGTGTTTTTATTTTCTTTTTCTTGTCTTCTCTTCTCTACCTCCCTTTCTTTTTTCTTTTCTTTTCTTTCTTTTTTCTTTTTTTTTTTTTTTCAGGCTGGCTTTGAACTCACAGAGATCCACCTGCCTCTGCCTTCCCAAGTTCTGAGAGTACAGGTGTGCATCACCATACTTGGCTAGTAAAGTCTTTTTCAAAACATACTGGCTTGACCTCACAGTATGAATCTTTGGAGACCATTGATTTTGATGAAGTGGTCTATACTGGAACAAGTCTGGTGAGAAAAGCTGGGAGATGAGGGACCAGTTTGAGCATGGGCACTGGCTTGAGCTGGAGGACTCTTGTTTCCTTAGGGCCCTCACTACTCCTAATAGTAGATCTGTTGACTTTTCTTCCCCCTCACCTGCCTTTTTCACCTGGTTTATCCATGCCCTCCCCCAGCTTGCTTTCTGTCTTTTCATCAGCTTGTCCATGAGGGTGTCTTTCTGAGCCTACCACAGCATGGAGAGGCAGAGGAAGAGGCGGCGAAGGGTAGGGCAGCGCAGCAGCTCTATGGCTGAGGCCTGGCCTTTGCCTAGGGTCAGTTCCTTCTGTAGGCTGGTCCGGAGCACCTGATGGGATGGGCATAACTCAGGGCCTGAGATTCTTCTAGGGGATCCTCTCAGTCCAACTCCTGAGTCCTGGGCTTTGGGTTGGAGCCCAGGTGGCAGCTAGGAACAAAGTTGTCTTACCTCTATACTCAGCTTAGCTCCCTCTTCCTGTTTCCCATTGATCCGGGCCACTCTCTGCAGGGCTCGGAGGGTGAGGTCCAGCCTTCCTGAGGAGGAGTACCATCGAGCTGACTCAATGAAGAACCTGGGAGTGGGGATGGAGAGAGGGTGGATATTGGCCTGGTCTCAGTTTCAGTCTTCTGGGTTAGAGATATGCAGTAGGGTTTTATTTATGTTTCGGGGACCAGGGCTCTTGCCAAGACCCCTTTAAGGACAAGACAGTGGCCAGTTTGATAATGACTCATCCCCATCCCAGAAGCTCAGCTCTTGGGTGCTGGGTAGGTAAGAGCAGTGCCAGCAGGAAGGTCAAACTGTGGGGTACTGGAGAACTGCTGCCTTCCTCCAGGACAAAACTGCCCCCACAGCCTTGGCTTCAGAGTCTGTTCAATAGAAGCATTGGATCAGGGTCAGCTTTCTGGCTTGATGGATTCTCTGGGGAAGCTTGTGCCCTGCTCTGGGCGATCACCTGTCTCTTGTAGCCCTGCAGCCTTTGGGTATTGCTTCCCACCACAGATCCCACATACCAGGAGTAGATGAAGGCAACGAAATAAGGCAGAGAGACCACAAGCTGCAGGTGGCGCCAGTGGGGCACAGCATAGGCGATACCTGCCAGGAGGAACTGGCCCAGGCTGTAGACATAGCCAATCAAGGTGCCCACATAGGCGCGGGTGTGGATGGGCATCCATTCCACATCTGGAAAGGGGTTAGAGTAGAGTAACCAGGCTGCTAGTTGGGAAGAGGCCCCTCTCTTGCTCCCTCCCGATCATGCTCTTCCCCAAGGCTCTGTAGAAGACATATGAGTGAGATTGGGTGCCAAGGTAGGGAGAGTGGAGACTTAGGTGGGGGTAGGAATTGGGAGTTAGATTCAGGATCCCCAGGAACTGCCTTCTCCATGCTCCTGCTGCTTTTTGGCCCTGCCCCAAAGGCCTGACTACAGCCCCTTTCCCCGCAGAGTTTCTCTGACCACTCAGTCTGTTCTCAGCAGAAACCACTTCCTTTTCCCTCAGTCCTGGGCTGGCCTGAGTAGTGCTCAGTGGTCCGAGCACTACTTTTTCTATTCTGGAGCATCAGTCCAGGTAGGAAGGGGACCACTGCTCTGCTAAGGTCTCAAGAGGATGGGCTGGATTCCCGGTGGGCTTCTGATTCTGCTGCTGGGATACAAGTGAATATTTATATTGACTTTGCAGCTGGAGCCTTAGGCATACCCCACTTCTATCTAAGGCCTAGCTAGTTCCATGGATTTCTTTCTGGGCTTGAGGGATGACCACAGGTAAATTTCTTTTCTTCTTCCTAGCCTCAGATTCATTATCTGGGAAATTGTGCGTGAGTGCGTGCGTGCGTGTGTGTGTGTGTGTGTGTGTGTGTGTGTGTGTGTAACCTACTAGAGGAAGCACACTGATGGTCCATGAACTCACTGTTCTTAGTCACTAAGTGTATTTGGTGCATACGATGCTGGCCCATCCTTGTTTAGAAATATTAGACTAACGGCAATGTTAAAATAATTGTGATTTTTATATTTAAAAAAGTGAGAGATATCTGGGTGTGGTGGTGTATGCCTGTAATGCCAGCACTTGGGAGCCGGAAGTTGAACGTCACGAGTTGGAAGCTATACGGTAAGACCCTGTATCAAAACAAAACACCACCACCAACAAAAACAGTGAGATATGACTTCTTGACTGGGAGTGCCTTTGGTATATCTAAGTAGGATTTAAAAAATACATTTGTTTATTTATTATTCTTTCTTTGTGTGTGTGTGTGTGTGTGTGTGTGTGTGTGTGTGTGCATGCTTATGGTATGGCAAATGTGTGGAAGTCAGAGGGGAACTAACTTGGCAGTAGTTGATTTTTTCTTCTGAAATGTTGGTCCTGGGGATCAAACTCATGTCATCAGACTTGGTGGCAAGTATCTTTACCCTCTGACACATCTTGCCATCCCCTTTGGTATTCTTTGGTATTTATCCCAGACTGTCCTGGAGCTCATTAAATAGACTAGTCTGGCTTCATGGTTGGGACAGTCCTGCCACCTCTGACTCCTGAATGTTGGGATTATGGGTGCATGCCACCATGCATAGCTCGTCTCTCTAGCCTTTGGGTCTCCTTTGGGTATAGTCTTCACTACTCCTAAGGTCTCCTGTACCTGGCTTGTCTTGGTCACTGTGACCACGGAGTCTGCAATCTTATTACTAAGTGAGGAGTCAAGATGGCGTGAGCTGGGGAAGGCAGTGTTGTGGTGACTGGAAATGCAGATCTAAGGGAGGTTTTGGGTTGAGAGAAGGTGGGGTATAGGAGGGGAGGGCTTCGGGGAGGAGGCCGGAGGGACTGGGAGGTGAGAGGGGACATAGGTGAGCAGTCCTCACTTAGTGTCATGCAGTTGATTGCAATGCTAGCCAAAGACATGCCCGAGAGGAGCCGGAAAATGCAGTAGATTGTATAGTTGGGTGCATAAGCTGCACAGGTTCCTGACACAGCTGTCTGCAGGTAGTTCAAGATCAGCACCTTCCGACGGCCCAGCCTGTGGGGAAGGGAAGACCTGTGTGAGGAGCCTGAGGACTGCTGGGAACCAGGCTAAGGTACATAGAAGAGGAGTAACTGCCTGGGATAAGGGCCCTGGCTGCAGTCTTCTGAGGACCTAAGAAGAATACTTAATCTTGCACTTAAACCAGCCACCCCTGCCTTGAATCCAGCCAGGGCCCCCCAATCCCAGTTTAGCCCAGCCCTTTGGCTTACCCAGGACTGACCTGTCTGCCAGGTAGCCAAACATCATGGCTCCCAGCAGCACTCCCACCATGTACAGGGACTGGGCTAGCTGGCGGAGGGCCCGATGAGAGCACACAAGGTTCCACTGTGGGGAGAGGTAAGCCAGAGTTGGGCAGAGAAGAGCTTGGATGCGGGGCAGCCCCTCACCCTCTCTTAGGAATGTCCTCTGGGATCCATGTCCACCCTCTTTCAGTCATACTTCCCTCTGCTGTTTGTCTCACACTTCCTCTGAGCTAAGAACCCTTGAAACACTCAGTAGCTTCCACATCCACCATCTCTACAAATACAATCCTCCTGAATCTTTTTATCTCATCTTCTGAGCTTGGCTCCTGGAGAACTTGACACTCTTACTCCCTCCTCCCTCAATCCCCGTGTGTGTGTGTGTGTGTGTGTGTGTGTGTGTGTGTGTGTGTGTGTCTGTGTGAGAGGCAAAGTGGTGTCACATGGACAGAAAGCCCCAAATTCTTACCTCAGTCACGATGGTTGAAGGGAAGGTGCTGTTGTCATAAACCCAGCCATCAATGCAGGGCTCTGTGACTCCAGTGCTATTAGCCTCTGTGCCATTGTGAAAGGGAAGTCCCCACTGTGGGGAAGTAAAACGGAGGCAAGGCTTGGGTTGTCCCTGTTTGTCCAGGGGCAGCCAGACCTCTAGACCTCCATCTTTGCTGAGGTTGGTGTTGACAGGTGGACGGCAGTGGTGAGTGGGGATGGCGGCAGTGAAGTTCTGCAAGGTGTTGTGGGAAGCCATCAGCAGTAGGGGAGCAACCACCAAGGTGACCTGGATCAGCTGGAAGCGGCCGACGCCCCCCACCTGCTTCAGGAGGTCATTGAAGGCCATGGGGCTGGGCCAGGCTGAGTGGTCAGGGATTGAGGACCTCCAGTCCTGGGACCTCTGTCTGTCTGCCTGCTGCCCTTTGCCTGAGGAGTGGGGCTGCCGCTGCCTCTGCAGCTGAGTGACTCCTGGAGCTGGAACTGAGCCGGCTCTGTGGCGGGACAGCAGGCTAGTGGGTCGCCCCTCCTTTCTCTCTCCCCTGGTTCTGGCCCTCCCTTGCCCTTGCCTCTTTTCTTCTCTTCGGGGGTCTGGACAGCTCAGCTTTCAGGGTCTGCTGGAGCCCTGACTCTTATGCAGGCAGCTTTTAATCTTTGTCCTGAAGACAATGAGTTAAAGTGTGACTTGGTGTCAGAAGGATTAACCCTGTGAGTATTCCTTGTGTCAGTGGAATCTCTCCAAGTGGGTATAAAGGGCAGGAGAGGGTGGATGAGACTCAGAGTGGATTCACTGGGGGAGGCCATTTGGGCATCTGGATGCAGAAGGGGACAAGGTGGGACCTTCTGTCTTTCTTCTATTGAGGAGTATGGGCTCTGGGAAATGTGGTGGCCTCCTGAGGGGTTTCTGTGAACACCACAGTCTGTCTTCAGGATAACACCAGAGAAAGCATGGCAAGTCCCATTGAACCCGAACATATTGGTGATTAATTTTTAATTGATGTAGCCCTAATATTGCATAGACCATGTTTATATACCAAATCAATTATGTATTAATTTGAAATTCAGATCTGACTGGGAATCTTGTATTCTTATTTGCTAAATTGAGCAATCCTGGTCTTTGGTCTTTCAAGAACAGCTCATGTCTGGCAGGACCGTGGCTTTGTGCTGCTGGAAGAAACAACAGGGGTCAGAAGTTGCTCTTGAAGACATGGGGACCAAAGGTAAAATTAGACATAATGGGAATCACTCTTCTGGATTATCAGATTTCATATTCTTGATTATTCTTTTTTCTTGTTTTTAAAGATAGGGTCTTATGTAGCTCAGGATAGCCTTCAGGTCAATATGTAGCCAATGCTGGTCTTGAATGGCTCCTCCTCCAAAGTGCTGGTATTACAATGTATACAATCACACTATTTACATTAATTAAGTAATTGACTGGTGTGTGTGTGTGTGTGTGTGTGTGTGTGTGTGTGTGTGTGTGTGTGCGATACAAGTTATACATGGAAGTCTAAGGACAACTTGTAGGAGTGAATTCTCTCTATCATGTGGGCTTTGGGGGATTGAACTCATCATCAAGCTTGGCAGCAAGTGCTTTTACCTGCCATCTTATTGGCCCTGTTTCCTCCTTTAATTATCTTGATTCAAAAATTTTCCCTTGTTCTTGTGTTTTCTTTATTTCTAAAAAACTATTTTACTTTATTTCATATGTATTGGTGTTTTTGTCTGCATGCATATCTGTGCATTTCATGCATATCTGGTACCAATGGAGGGTGTCAGATTTCCTGGACCTGGCCTTAGAGACAGTTGTGAGCCATTATGTAGGTGCTGGAAATTGAACCAGGATTCTATGCAAGAGCATCCAGTGCTCTTAAGCATTGAGTCACCTCTCCATCTCCCTCTTCTATTTTTTTTTTTTAAATGAGCATGAACCTATCTTATTTTAGTACAAGTCTAGGACCTGATTAGAATTCCCTCAACAGTTTTTGGCTCCTTTACCCTGGTTACTCACAATCAGAGGCAGTCTTGACCAATAGTTGGATATTTCTGTTGGATCCGATTGGTTGGATTCCAGACTGGGGAGGCTTAGGGCAGGCTGCTATTCTATGGCTTTGATTTGCAAGATGCGTCTGGTATAAAACCATTGAAGCCTGGAGTCATTTCTTTTCCTGTCTTCTTACGCTGTCTGACCAGGAGCAAGTTATTAACTCCTGTCTACTTCTGTGCCTGTGTTCAAGACAGAGATGATTTTCATGTCCCCTTTATTTTGTTCTTGGAAGGTTAAGCGAGCCAACAAAGGTAAAGAGTTTAAAGAAGCCTTTATCCAAGTATCTAGGTCTGTGTCCATAGTTCTAGTTCCTGTGGAGCCTGAGGCAGGAAGATTGAGCTCAGGAGTTTAAACCCAGCTTGGGCAAGAGGATTAGGATTTCAAACTTAGTCCTGGCTACATTGTGAGTTTGATGGCACCTTGTACTTCATGAGACCCTATCTTAAAGAACTTCCCACCAGGAAAAAAAAAAAAAGGCCAGATAATATGCTTATGCAAACTGCACTTTTATGCATCAAATTGGGTAGGGGTTTACTGTCTATTTAGGTCCTCAGACACACGATGTTACAGTACGGTCTTAACTTCAAAGCTAGCTTCCTCCTCCTCCAACAGGGGTTTATATCCCAGGCTGATTTCAAACTCACAGTTCTCTGATCTCAGCCTCCCAAGTGCTGGGATTATAGGCCTGGACCCTCTATGTGTGGCCAAAAGCTGAACTCTTAACTGTGGCTCTACGGTGTGTCTGCTGCCATTCTAAAGGGGTTTTGAAGGTAAGCTAACTTTGTATGTAGAGAAGAGAGCCGGGGCGACTGTAATTCATACCAGCTTCCCACTCCCAGCATGTGTTGATTCCAGCTTGGGCTCAATGGGTGTCCAGATGCCTGATACATTCTCCAGGCCAAAATATATACAAACCTGTGGCCTGGGGAGGCGAGGACAGCTGGACAAACAGCTTAGAGCCTGTGGGGTCAGTTCCCTGCCAAGACTCAGAGCTGTCGTAGGGAAGTAGGTGGAGTGCTGAGGGTAGTAGAGCGATCTCCTGCAAATACCCTCCCTCTCCAAGCTTGTGCCTAATCCAGCTCTGGATAAGAACTTCTTTCTTAGCTCCTGTCCTAGTTAGAGTTACTAATGCTGTGACAGACACCATGACCAAAGTAACTTGGGGTAGAAAGAATTTATTTGTTTATGTTTCCATATCATAGTCCATTACTGAAGGACAGCAGGACAAAAACCTGGAGACAGGGTTGATGCAGAGGCCATGAAGGGGTGATGCTTCCAGGCCTGCTCCTCGTGGCTTGCTCATTCTGCTTTCTTATAGCACCCCAAACTACCAGTCCAGGGATGACACCACCCACAGTGGGCTGGGCCCTCACTCATCAATCACTAATTAAGAAAATGCCCTACAGGCTTTCATACAGCCGGATCTTAGGGAGGCATTTTCTTAATTGAGGTTCCCTCCTCTTTAATGACTATAGCTTGTGTCGAGTTGACATAAAACTAGCCAGCATAGCTCCTGACCAGTCCCATGTCCGGCTGAGTCTATAAAAGGCTCCTTTGGAAACTCCAGGAACTGAACTGTGGCAAGATCCCAGGATTTTCAGATCTGGGGACTGTCTCTTGTTGACCTTGTGGGCCATTAAAAATTTAGAGATGGGACTCCTCTGTGTTAAATGGAGCATTGGCTTAAATTCCAGTTATGTTCAGTGGGAGGGTGTCAGCTCTGGGAGTCTGGATATGGGCAGAAGCTTATTATTATTATTTTTCTCAGAACCACATACCACTGGAATTGAGAGATGTCACTCAGCTGAGAACATCCCATGACACAGATAAGGAGGCTGAGGCTCAGACAGGAGCCAGAGCTTCAGATGATCACACTGCAAGCCCTAAACTCACCTCTTTTGCCTCCTACGTTCTCCCTACCGCATGAGTTGCCTTTACATAGGCTAGATTTTCTGAAATAAGTGCTGACTTTGTATAACTATAGTCTGTTAAGTCAATGGGATTCAAAGTGTGGAGCTACATGTGACTTTTATTACTTTGTGACACCTTTCAAATAAATAATTTACAGATCAAAGAAGACACTCTGGATCAAATCATGTTCTGGAAGCAAGGGGTCGAAATGACCTGGAGAGTTCAGAAGACTCCAGCTGCCTGCCAGCATCTGAGCCGGAAATTTCAGAGCCAAAGTGAACCTTGTGCCTTGATCTCGGCTACCCCAGCCCGCAGGCAGTATACGCCCATCTAAAACTGCTGTTTAAAAGCTAGATGTGAACTGGGGGTGTAGCTCGTTGATAGAGTGCCTGCCGTAGCATGCAGAAAGTCCTGAATTCGATTCCCAGATCACATAGCATGGGGCACTGTGGCACACAAGTGATCCTAGCACTTAGGGGGTAGAAGCTGGAAGACCAGAAGTTCAAGTTTGTCCTCAACTGGCTATTCAGAGCATTGGATGCAAAACCGGACTACATGAGACCCTGTCTCAAGAAAACAGCAAAAACTCACAAACCAGATATGAGATCATTCACCTGTGAGGTGACTCAGAGGGTGTTCCATATTGGGTGGCAATTCACTGAGGCACTTGTCCCTGCTCAGGGACAGAGAGAAGGGAATAGAGGAAGCAGGAAGGGCTGAGGAACAGCAGTAATGCGTACAGGAATTTGGTGTCTCACCATAAATCCTAACAGCAACAATGAGAAGTGCTTTCTCGTCGTTTTCCTTTTCCTTGCTGTGTGTCTGCACCCTGGAGCGGTGCAGGAATGGTCATGGCTAGGGCATTCCAGGAGCCATCCTGAATTCTGGGCCACTAATAGATGGGGAGCTGGTAGGGCCAGTGATTCACACTGAGCCCAGTTCTTTGTCTGGTGGAGACCAAGTAGGAGGTATTGCTGGCTCCATTCTGAGCTAATTCTTAGGCTCCAAGGTTGAAACCTCATCAGTAGACATCAGGTTTTAAGATGAAGCCTAATAATCTCACTACAAAAGTCAGGTCGCCCCAAATTGTCTAAAGGTTGGCAAGGGAGACTCCTGCATCCAAACCAAGTGTAAATGGCAGCTTCTGACGAAGCTGGGTGACAGGCTGGTGTGGGTGGTGTTTGAGGTGGGTGGCAGAGGGATCCTTCTGTCCTTTCACTCCCTCTCCTTTTGGCTCTTGCTTCCTTTCTCAAGCTTGCTCCCGACTTCCTATTTTCATGAAGCCCTTGCCCAATAAACTACTTTACATTCAAATCCTTGTCTTGGGGTCTGCTTCTGGGGAAATCTACACCAAGATTCAACCATGATCTCAATTCACCATACAATCTGTAGGGCACCTAACCCAGGCTTTTGAGCCTCAGAAATCCTTTGGGAGGAAATTACACAAGTTGAGACGCCCAAGCTAAGTTATGGGAGGGCCAAGTGCAGTGGGAGTCCGACAGGAAAATTCTAGTCCTGAGTGAAAGGCTGCAGCAGCAATGAACACAAAGAAACTGAGTGGAGGATGGATTTCAGCGTGTGAAAGTGGAGTGTTAAAACTGAAATCGCTGCAGCAGGTTGGGACCTGATTCTGGTGGGTCTTGTAAGAGGGTTGCTGCTTTATCCTCGTGAGAAATCACTGAAAGGTGGGGGCAGCGCGCAGTGTAATCCTTTTCATGTTGATTAAGCACCCTCTCAGATCTCTAAATACATACTCAGGAGTAGTGATTAGCTCTGTGGTTGATAATGAGAATCCATAGAATGGGTTGGCGTTGTCTTATATGATCGCCAACAGCCACTGCTGAGTGCTTGAATGGAGCTGATCCAAGCTGAGTGTCCCGGCTCATTTTTTTTTTTGTCAAGTTAACAGAAGTTAGAAGGAGGGAATCTTAACTGAGAAAAATGCTTCCATAAGACTGGTTGTAGGCTAACCTGTGGGGTATTGTGATTAATGATTGATGTGGGAGAAAAAAGCCTATTGCGGGCAGTGCCACCCCTGGGCTGGTGGTCCTGGGTTCTATAAGAAAGCAGGCTGAGAAAGCCAAGAATGAGCCAGTAAGCAGTGTTCCTCTATGGCCTCTGCTTCAGTTCCTGCTTTGAGTCCTGCTCTGACTTCCCACAGTGATGAAGTGTGACCTGAGCATTCTAAGATGAAATAAACCCTTTCCTCTTTGAGTTGCTTTTGTTCCTGGTGTTTCACCATAGCAATAGAAACCTTAACTAAGGCAAGGTCTCATGTAGGATTCTGGAACTCCTTGATTAGCAGGTCTTGGGAATACAAACCCTTGGAGAAGGACGAAGTGACTCTTGTCATGATGTTCCGCTGTGGCTCTGAAGAAACAGTGCCTAGTGAGCATGAACCAAAAACCTCAAACTGGGAGGCCAAATAAAGCCTTTCTTTTAAGTTGTTTACCTCAGGTATTCAGTCATGATGTTAGAAAGTTGACTAACACAGCTCTACTCTCAGGAAATGGGTTAGTGCCTGATGAAATAGCTGGAGGGAACCAGCTTTGTGGGGATACAATAACTCACCAGACACTGAACACTGATCACTTGACCTTGGTTGGACTTCCCAGACTCCAGAACTGTGAGCAATACATTTTTGTTGTCTAGACAATCCAGCCTGTGGTAGTATACAGTTATCCTGAAAACACACACTAGGACACATGTATGTGGTCAGAGTAGCCCAGCTTGCATGCAGCCCAGTGCCCAGTGTGTGTGTGCTCACATGTCCACATCATCACTAGCCCTCTTTCCCCACCTGTTTTCCCAAGAAACATGACCTGAGTTACTCATTTAGTTTATTGAAATTTCCCACCAAGGAAAGAGTTTTACAAAGGAAATGGGAAGCCATCAGAACTTCTAGGGAATCTCAAGGGAGAAGGAGTTAGGACAGTGGAGGACAGTGGCCAGTACAGAAAGGGTAGGTAGAAGAATTGGCAAGGCCTGGGTTGTAGGGAGGATGAGTGCAGGGGTGAGTATGAGAAGCCTTGTGTTTAGAGCTGTGAACAGGCCAGGTCTGGGTTGTGGGCTATGGTAGAGGTGCTGATGGTAGAATAACTTTACTGAACTCTCAGAAGTTTTTGTTCTAGAAGATTGGGGCCACCCAGGGCCTTCCCCAATATCCAAGGTGTCTGAGGAGCCCTGGAAGGATCCTGCTTGGGATCAGTCTCTGGAGGACAAGAAAGAGGATTCTCTTGTTCTCAGCTGGGGTCCTATCCACCAGTCTTCAGAGGAATTGTCTGGGATGCCTTTTCTTCTTCTGGCTCCTGCTTGGTTTTCTCGGCTTGCTGGTGCCTAGGGATATAGAACTTAGGAAAAGCTTGGAGCTCTGGCCTGTTTGCTCAAAGGGAAGCCTTGGGAGCCAGAGGCAGACAACTCACCAATGTTGTATATCCTCAATAGTCTCTGGTAAGGGCCGATTGAGGGTCTCAAGCAGGAAGAAAGCAGCGCTGCCTCCTAGTAGAGCCATGCTCCCAAATATGACATTAGGGATGAAGAGATGCACTTCACCCGTGATTTTCACCAGTGGGGCTATCATACTTCCCACTCGAGCCCACGCGTTACTAATACCCATACCTGTTTGTCTGGGAGGGTTCAGAGAAGGAATTAGCAGCCTGTGCAGACAGCTTTTAAAGGACAATCCTGTGACCCTTGGATAGATGGCAGGAGGAGGCCATTCCATCTGTTAGCCCCTGACCCAGCTGTATCACCTACCTGAGGACCGTAGGGTAGAGCTCACTTGTGTAGAGGAAGAGGCAGCTGAAGGAGCCAGACAAGCATCCCTTCCCAAATACAGCCAGTGCTGTTCTCAAAAGCTGCATCTCTGCATGGGAAGGGGTTGGGGGATAGGCATCGGTGTTTATGAGCTCCTGAATGTTCTCACTCCTTAGCAGACTTTGTTTTCCTTTGTGCTTTGCTTGCCCAGAAGCTCATATGAGAAGGGAAAGGTGAGGAAGAACCCATCTGCTACTCCTAATGCATTGTCATGTAGGCCAGTTGAATTGTTTTCTAGAAGAGTAACCTGAGCCCTATAAAAGGTAGGGATCTGTTCAAGGCCAGCACAGTGAATTGGAGGAGGGTTAACAAAGCTGGAGTTCACTTTCCGGACTGTGACAGCTTCTTCCAGAGGGTCCTAGGTAACCTCAACCTCTCACCTGAAGACACAAAGATAAGTGCCAAGATGGCCCCTCCTGCCAGGAGCAGAACAAAGCCCTGAGTGATCCGCCGGCCCAGATAACTTATGGAGAGTATTGTGATGAACTTGGCTGGGATGTCGACCCCGCCAAAGATGACCTGGAGAACGTAGATGTTGACTCCAAATTCTTCTACCCCCATAGCCAAACTGTAGTAGGCAAAACCAGTAGAAAACCTGAGAGAGAGAGAGAGAGAGAGAGAGAGAGAGAGAGCCATTGGTCAGAATCTGCAGCCAAGCTGAGGTCTCTTCCCAGAGCAATTCATGGGTTACCAGGATGGCAAATAGTTTTTTTTATTGTGGCGTCTATACAGGCTGCTTGAGTCCACTTTTTTAAATTAAATTTTTATTTTTTATATATTAATTACAGTTGAGTATACTTTTGAGTCTTGTGAGATTGTGTCTGAGTTCAATGAAAAGTGCTGGGGTTGATTGGTCATGTCTGGCATGCTCTAGGGTGTTCATGGCAAAGGGGCCCAAGATTGGCTCCATAGAATAACAGGACTGGAGGGATTCTCAGAGACCAGAGGAGGCAGGAAATGATCTATTTTTGTTCACTGAAAGTACAATATCCAGAGAGGCAGAGGTGACAGTCAAGCTGTAAACAGTGAGTGGGTAACTCCTCCTCTCAGAATTATGGCAAAGTGTGGAACAAATTTGATCCTGGGGAAGACTAGGATGGAAAATGGTTTCACAACCAGGTCACAAAAAGGTTTGGGGAAGATGTAGAATCAGTCAGAAGACGAGACTTGGGGGGGGGGCACATAATTGCTTCCTACAAGTTTGAAGCCTGCAGGGCCAGTTCTGCTCTGTGTGGGTCCAGAAGGCAGAGTTAGGCTAGAAGGCTTCAGTGACAGAGAGGCTGATTATGTGGAGAGTGCTGTCACCAGAATGTGCACTGAAGGGTCTAGAGCACCTGCTCTTTGTGGGGTAGTGCAACCACAGAGGGAGGCAGACCCTCTCAGTTGATTCTGGGACTGAAGCTGGGCTTGGAGGCCCCTAGGAGGCATTTCCTTGATTTCTCTTGCTGGTAGCCTAGGCTTTGCCCTGATGGACAACTCTGTGCAAGGCATGGGTAGGGAGAGGTGGCAGGTTACCAGGCCAGGGAGAGACAGAAGGTCACACGGCGCAGGATGGACACTCGGAACAAGTCAGATAAGCCATATTTGACCTTGGCTGAGGTAATATCTTTCTGCAGGTTGAACTTCAGCTCCTTGGGACATGGGAGAAAGAGGAGTGTTGTTACTGGGCCTCTTTGGTGGAAAGGAAGGAGGTTCAGATCTAGTTCTTCTAGAGGATTAATTGGAGGAGCCGGTGGGATATAGCTGTAAACTAAGGAAACAGAGGCAAGAAAGGTAGACGTGGTTGGGCCCCAACCGCAATCCTTCCCCACCTACCTCCACGGTGAGCTTTTTTCCTTCCTGCTTCTTGCCATTGAAGGTTGCCACCCTCTGGAGTGTCTTCAGAGCCTTGGAGAACTTTCCAGACAGAACCATCCAGCGTATGGACTCTGGTACCCACCTAGGGGCCAGAGTCAAGACATACTGGCTCCTGTTCCAGAGTCTCTTTTGAGATATCTGCATGGAGTCCCTGGGATAGGAGGTCCAGAAATCTCATGCCCTTTCCATGGAACTTCACACTGGCCTGTCTTTGTACCTGGGATGCCTCCAGTTAGTACAAATTTCAGTACTGGGTTGCCCCACATCTAAAAAGCCTTCCTCTGTCTTCAATCTAGGTCTCTTGTTGGATGTCTTCCTTAGCTAAGAGCCCCAGGGGCTAGGCTAAGGTAGGTGGTGCTTGGGGAGGGGATAGCATACCAAAGGCTGGACAGCTGGAGGGTCATTTACCTCTGCTTCCCTAACCTTCCTTGGTCTGGATTTCTTCAGGGCCTTTGGAGGGTGAACATTGATTACTTGGCCTCAGACCCCTGCTCCCAGCTTTCTGAGTCTGTTCCTCATGGACTTAGAGATCCTGTTTCTACCTTGGCAGTCCTACTCTCACCAAGACTGTGAAGGAGTTCCTCTCATGCTTCATAGCCGAGCCCAGGACTTGTCTCCCTGAGAGTAATGACAGCAACTGCTCCCAATCAGCAAGCCTTCCTGTAGGCCAGCCCCATAAAACCTAACGGAATCCTCAGCATCATCCCCACCTTATCTAGAAAAATCTTGATGCTCAGAGTGTGTGAGTCCTGCCCCAAGTCACAGAATGGAGGGCCCTGAGCTCACAACTGTATTCTGTGAACTATCTGCCCATTTTGTCTCCTGACGCTGACTGCTTCCACCCCTGGCTGTGCATGTGTTTCTGTCTCCACTCCATCCTCATCCTCCTCTCTCTCACTTTCAGACTGCTGTTTATTCTGACAGTTATACGTTCATATCTAAGTTGAAGTTCCATATCAAGTCTGTACTTTTTCATATAACCTTCCCCAAGCCTCAGTTTTCTCATCTTTGAATAGGGACAATAATGCTCCTATCAAACACCACAAGGATAAGAGACAACATTAATTATTGTTCAGAATGGGGCCTTGTGCTTAGTTATAAATAGTTATGCTAAGGTTTCACAGCTTTTCCTTGGAATGCTTGTGATGTCCAGTGCTTGGGCTTCAACAGCAAGCTATGCAGGCTATTTCCTGTTTTTCTGTGTGGCTTTGGGTTGAACAGGTTGATAATGAGTTCTCAGCCCATTCTGGGTCTTCCACCAAAGCACTTCAGTTCTTACAGATTTCCAGGCTGAGACTCTGCTTTGGATATTCATTTGTACTGTAAATCTAAAAAATCTCCCAATTATGTAGAAACTTCTTTTAAAATGTCTTTTAGATTTCTTCCCCAAGAATCCTCTAGCCTGCATAGTACCCTTCCTTCTGTCCTTAGCCTTACCATATGGGTCTGTGTGACTGTGTTTCAGGGCCTTTTTTTTTTTCCTTCCCACAAACTTGCACCAGGCCTGTCATAGACACCTTCTATACTTTTCCATCTGCCTCCATATGAAGTTGAGGCTTTCCTGGCTACCTGTGCTAGCGATGGACCATCCATCGCTAGCCCACCCCCATCCATCTCAACTCATGCCCCTTATTCAGCCACAGGCAGCCCTTAGTGCTTCCCACACCTGCTCTGTCCTACAGTATGCTTCAGCACATGTAGCCCTTCCATGCTGGAAGACCTTCCTTGACTCTGGGAGCTGGGCACAGAGGAGTTGGATAATCAGGATAGGCATGGAACCCTTATTTGTCCCTGGTGGAATTGGGGATAGAGGAGGACAGCAGAGGGCCACATACCAGGACAATAAGGAGAAGATGAAGTAGGGAACAGACGTGGTTAACTGTAGCCAGCGCCACTGAGGAATGGCATAGGCTAGGCCGGATAGAACGAATTGGCCAAGGGTGTAGCAGTATCCAATTGTTGTTGATGAGATGGCCCGCATTGAGGTGGGTACCCATTCCACATCTGTGGGAAGAGTCCAAGGACAAGATTAGGGTCTTGTCAGGTCCCAGGTACCTCTCTGTGAAAGGGTATCAGCTTCTGCCTCCCAGGAGCTACCCTCATCTGATCCCAATGGTTCAATTATCACCATATTGCCCCTGAAACTCAAGGAAATAGGACTCAAACTTGGGCTTCTTTCCTCCCCAACTCACCTTTAATATGTCTCAATACTGGAATATTCCCTTACTTTCCACCTCAACTTTATCATCTGTCACTCTGTTCTGTGTATGTGCTGTATAAGGTCATATGCCTAGCAGAGTACCTAGACCTGAGGCAAGGCCTATAGCGTCATAGCTGCTATCATTAAGTTTGTGATTGCTGTTAAACTCAGAAGGGTCTTGAGAAATCAAAAGTAGGGCCTTTTGGTTGATTCAAACCCACTCTCTCAGCTTTTGGCTGGTGCTCCCCAATCCCTTGCTCCTCAGGCCCCCACTGTGGCTCACTCAAGATAACCGTGCTCAGAGTAATGCCCGAGATGCTGCAGCCACACAGGAATCGGAAGATCATATAGACAGGGAGGCTGGGGCTGAAGGCAGCGCCTGAGCCACTGGCTGCCAGCATTAGGTAGCTCCAGGTCAGGATGGGCTTGCGGCCAAACCTGCAGCTCAGAAGAGAGGAAGGGCCAGGTTAGCCACTGTGTGTCTGCCAAATTGAGTGACTTTGCAGGCTTTGGGGCAAAGGGCTGAAGGCAACCCCCAAGCCTCACTCATGCATTAGGTAGAACTTATAACTCCCTCACCAGACAGAGCCTTGCTGGTAATTGCTATTATTCAACAAATTTGCAGTAGGAGCATTGAGTTAATGAGTTACTTCCTCCATTTCAGCTTAGCTGACTGAGCAGAGGTCAAAAGACCATGTATCTCTAAGCAATTCATCTGCTCTGGCTTTACACTATGCAGGCACAATACTGTGTTCAAAAACCTGGGTCAAGAGCCAGATGATTCAAGTGAGGACTCTGGAACAGAGAAGGCTATGGCCTGGCAAGGGAATGGTATCTGCCCAGAGAGGGCCATCCTTCCCACCTTCCTCAGCTTTTTCTTCTTTGGGGTACATGAGTAGAACAGAGTCAGGAGGGGATATACATGGAATGTGCTCCAAGCCTCACCTGTCTGACAGTTCTCCAAACACAGGCCCTCCAATCAGTATGCCTGCCATGAAGATCGACTGGGCCATCTCCTTCAGTTTGTTGGAGCTGCATACCAAGTCCCACTGCACAAGAGTAAGGTAGGGCCAGCTCAGCTCAACACAGTCCAGTCTCCCTAGCCATGCTCAGCCTGCACCTACACAACACACACACACACACACACACACACACACACACACACACACACACAGGCACTCACATGCCTTGGCTTCCATGAGCCTGGTCTTTGACTCCCAAGCTCCAGTTCTTTCTGCCTGTGGGGGTTCCTTGGGCCCTTGACCCACGATTGTGTAATGACAACATCCCTCAAGTGTGTGTGACCTGTTGTATGGTTTACAGAGGCTGCTTAGCTGCTCCATCGACCTGTTCTTATCCTCTTCCATGGTTCATCTGTGTCTTGCAGCATCCAGTTTTCCCTCTTCTTTCCCCCATATATTCAAGGCTAGTCCCTTCACCTGTGTCCTTGACCTCTCCTCCTCTTATAGTCCACTCTTTTAGTCTTTCCCTCCCTTGTATCCTTCCTTTCTCTTTTCTCTTAACTCCCCTCCATCAGTTTTCTGCATAAAATTTCCTTTCTACACTTTCTCCAATTCTCTTGAACAGGAAAGTACCCTTGCTACCACCCATCCTCCTCTTCACTCAGTTCTCAGTTCTGTCCTGACCAATAAATGCACTGACACTGTGCTCGCCAAAGTCACCCACAGTTTCTTTATCACCTATACTACAGACCTTCTGCCTCTTGACCTGCCTTAGTCCTTGGCAGCCTCCCTCCACCTGGATCCTTTTTCCTCTTGCTTTATGCCTTCCCATCCCTGTCTCCTTTTTCCCTGGCTAGCCCATATAGTTTCCCAAGACTCCCTCTGGATCCTTTTCTCCATCTACTTTCCCCAGACAATGCCACCGGTTTCTAAGGCTTATATTATTCTTTATGCCAAAGAGCCCAAACCCTTTTCTGCAGCCCATCTTCTCTTCTGGCCTTCAGACCATCAGAGCCTGAGGCCTACTTGAAAACACTACCTGGATGACATCCCATGAACACTCCAGACTTAACAGGACTTGTCATTTCCATTCTTTGTAAGGTCCCATGCAAGCCAAATAGCAACCCTGTCTTTTTAAAAGATTTATTTTTTTAAATTTACATGATTTTGAGTTGATGAATTGTAATTATGTTACATGTGTGGAGAAGAACACTGCCATGTTTTTGATACATGTGGAAAGAATAAATCACACTCCAAGGAAACCCATCCATCACCTTTCCTACTTCATATTTTTTTTGGTGATGATTCTTTTTTTAAAAATAATTTATTTAAAATTTATTTTATGTGCAGTAGTATAAAGGTGTCAGATCCCTTGGAATTGGCATTACAGACAATTGTGAGCTGTCATTGGGTGCTGGGAATTAAACCTGGGTCCTTTGGAAGGGCAGACAGCAGTCTTAGCCCACTGAGCCATCTCTCCAGCCCTGATGATGATTCTTTTAAAGTTTCCTCTTAGTTGTTTTGATATTTAATCCATTATTAAGATTATAGTCACCCTGCTGTGCAATAAAACTCAAAGCTTATTCTTCTCATTCAGCTAAAACTGAGTATCCATTGATGAGTAGCTTCCCTGTGTCCATTCCATACCAATCTTCTAGTCCCAGCTTCTGACAAATACGATTCTATATTCTACTTCTAAGAATTCCACCTTATGTGGGAGGGACACAAGAAGAGAAGAGGGAGGAAGGGTGAGATTGGGAGGGGAAAAGGGAGGGGGCTACAGCTGGGATACAAAATGAATAAGCTGTAATTAATAAAAAAAATAAATTAATAGAAAAGAATTCTACTTTATAAGAGAGCATGCTGGTGTCCCTCTTTGACTCCTCCTTTTCTCTTCCACCCTGTAGAGGACACGATGTTCTTGTGCTCACAGTATGCAGTAGGGAAACCAGGAATGTTAAACACGCAGGGTTGTCTCTTCAAAGGAAGAAGAGTATAGCCTGTTTTTCTCCCAGAAGGCTGAGAATGCATGTAGTAATAGCCTGGTGACCTGTGCTCTCTGCAGGGCCAGGCCACACCTGATTTCCCCAGACTGCTAGGCTTACTTTACTCATTCTGAGAGACCAAAAGATTAAAAATCAGCTATTGGGGGGGGGAGGGTGGGACGGGGAGGGGAGGAGGGAGGGGCTTATGGGGGATACAAAATGAATAAAATGTAATTAATAAAAGTTAAAAAAAAATCAGCTATTAAGGCCTGAACTAGGTGGGTGGAGAAGTCTAGTAATGCCCTAAGGGGAAGGACAGCCTTACTGCATTCTCCCCCCCCATACAGTTGCTAGGAAACTGGCCCATCCCCCTAGGGAGGGACACCAGGTCACGGGGTTCCTATAGCCAATCAGTTCAAAATGTAGCATTTTGACCAATAGATGCTTGTCAGGCAGGAATCGCCCCTGCCTTGGGCATGCTGAATCTTTAAATCACCCAACAAACCTGAGCATGGGGTGCTCGGCTCCCACCGCTTTCGCAGTGGGGGTGTGGGCCCAAGCTGCAGCTTGTCATTTACAATAAAAAGAACCTCATGTATTTACAGCGGAATCTGTTTATTCCTGGTCTTTTGGGGTTCGCGAACTGGGCAGAACATTTCTCCCCAGACCAGTGGTTCTCAGCCTGTGGGTTGTGACCCATTTGGAGGCCAAATGACACTTTCACAGGGGTCAAATATCAGATATCCTGAATATCAGACTTTACATTATGTTTCCTGACAGTAGCAAAATTACAGTTATGAAATTACCATATATAATTTTGACAGTGGCAATGAAATAATTTTATGGTTGGGGGTCACCACAACACGAGGAACTATATTAAAGGGTCGCAGCATTAAGAAGGTTGAGAATCACTGCCCTTATCTTGAGCCTTGTTTCTCAGTCCACTTGTAGAACTCATCTTTATGGAAGAGACCAAATGTATTTTGCAAAGAGTTAGATATAGTCATTACTTAATTTTTATTGTGCACACAAGATTGAGTTAATTGACACCAGAAAAATTTTCCAAAATTCTAATGTACTTAAATATGCTTAGAATAAACTTTGAACCAACACCAGCTACTGAGTCCTTTTGAACTGGATCTCCTTGCTTCACACAGATCAAAACTCTGCTGGTCCTGGTGTTTCCAGAGACCCCACCCCACCCCACAATCACTTGATCATCAAGTTTCTAATATATATATATATTTTTATATATATATATATATATATATATATATATATATATATATATATATATATATATTTAGACAGGGTCTCTCTATAAAGCCCTGGAGGTCCTTGAACTCATAAGCCAATCTGTCATAGAATTTACAGAAATATGTCTGCCTCTGCCTACTGGGTGCTGAGATTAAAGGTGTGTGCCACCATACCCGGCTGCATTCATTTTTTTGGATCTGGATATCTCTGTTTTTCAGATTTATTTATGAGTATTTTGCCTGCATATATGTGCACATATGTGTGCTTGGTGCCTCCAGAGGTCAGAAGAGGATGTCGGATCCTCAGAACCTCTGGATGGATGGTTGTGAACTGCCATGTGGATACTGGAAACAGAAATTGGGTATATACTCACTCATATAAACATACAATATAGAATAAACCCACTAAAATCTGTACATCTAAACAAACTAAGCAAAAGAGAGGACCCTAACTAAAATGTTCAATCCCCATCCTGAAAGGCAAAGAGGATGGACATCAGAAGAAAACGAAAATAGGAAACAACCTCGGAACCCGCTACAGAGGGCCTCTGAAAGCCAGAAGAAAACAGGAAACAACCTTGAAACCTGCCACAGAGGGCCTCTGAAAGCTTCTGCAGTATAGACTGTCAAAGCAGATGTTGAGCCTGATGGCCAACTGATGGGCAGAGTGAATGGAATTTTATCTAAGAAGTGGGAAATAGTAAGAGCTGGAGGGAACGGGAACTCCACAAGCAGAGCAACAGAACAAGATAATTTGAACACAGGGAACTTCCCAGAGACTCATACTCCAACCAAGGACTATTCGTGGAGATGACCTGGAACCCCTGCACAGGTGTAGCCCATGGCAGTTCAGTGTCCAAGTGGGTTACATAGTAATGGGAAGAGGGACTGCCTCTGACATAATCTGATTGGCCTGCTCGTTGATCACTTCCCCCTGAGGGGGGAGCAGCCTTACCAGGCCACAGTAGAGGACAATGCAGCCACTTTTGATGAGAACTGATAGACTAAGATCAGAAAGAAGAGGAGAACCTCCCCTATCAATGGACTTGGGGAGTGGCATGCATGCAGAAAGGGGAGGGAGGGTGGGATCGGCAGGGGAGGAGGGAGGGGCTTATGGGGGGATACAAAATGAATAAAGTGTAATTAATAAAAAAAAAAAAATATATATATATATAAAAGAAAACCAAAAAAAAAAAAAAAAAAAAGAAAAGAAATTGGGTCCCCTGCAAGAGCAACAAGTGCTCTTAACCTCTGAGCCTATTCTCCAGCCCCTCTATTTTCATCACAATTGCCTTAATATAGGCCTCCTCCTCTTGCCCTTGAATGAATAGTGACAGCTGATGTTTACAGAGGGCTCACTGTAGCAAGCATTGTCCTTAGGTAAGCTTTTCTGTACTTTAATTTCTTTAACCCTCTAAGCAACCATGTTATGTTCTCATTTTTACAGGGCAGGAAACAGTTTCAGAGCAGATTACTGTGCGAAGCTTTTAACAAGTCTTCCCTACTCTTTCCTTAATGACATGAATGGCTTTTAGGTTTCTACTTTGCTAAGAATATTGTTTGGTGCTCTCTTGTCGGCTAGGTAAAGAGACTCACTCCCTTGCTGTGAGGTTTATAAAGCCTGCTATGCTTTGGCTTGGTCAACCTGCCTGCTCTAATCTCCCACTAATCCCAGCACACATTCTTTGCTCCAGACATCCTGAATTACTTGTGTAATGAAGTGAAGAATGTTCCCTAGAAATGCCTCTCAAGAGTGTTTCGGAAGTAAAGTATGAGGAGAGATCATGGAGCCTAAGGAGTTCTTTTCTACCTTTTTCTTCTGGAAGTGAGGCAGGATGGGGGTGGA